TGCCTTGGCCCTGGGAGTCATAGGAGAAACCATCGCACTTCATTCTCCACTCCAGAAAACAGCAGTTTCAGGGAGTTTTCTGAGTTTTTAACAGGGTTATTTTGAGCACAACAGGTACTGGAACCACTGACAAGTGAAAGGTACTCTGATTGAAAATGGTTTTTTTCATTTCAACGTTGTTTGGAGATTAAGGCATTAAATGACTAAAGAAACTGCATTTTCTGAACACCCCTAGTTCTCTCTACAATTACAGTAAGGTGTTTTATCTTCCAAAAACATATCACTGGGTGACTATTAGCAATAACAATGCTGTGTGTTACTATCATTAGGAAAACTTATTGTCACTACAATTATAATAATCATCCACTAATAAAAACAACCTGCTGAAAAACAATGATAGCAATTGCTACTACTACATGTACAATGCTAAAGTATCTGGTGATGCTCACCAAGATAAAAAGCTTCTAAAGTAGGGGGGATTGTTTGCTTCCAGGGGGTTGTTTGCATCTCAGACTTATTTTTATCATTGTTAGCCTAGACAGAAATTTTAACATGTTCAAACTTAGCTAGAGAGTCTCTCTGCTGACTTTCACATTGGCGCTGAAGTTGGTCAGCTTCTTACTATTATCTGAAAAGTTGCTTTGTTTAAATTCCATAAAACAGCAGCAAATTTCTCCACACCACTTCCTTTAGAGGAGTTGCCTTTTTGCGTGCAAGCTCACATCTGACTCCTGCCAGCATTGAGCCCTTGATGTAGTCAATAGCCTCCTTCGGACTAGAACTAACAGAAAACGTAGAAAAGCCCACAAATCCCTCTCCTGACTTCACAGTCCATCTGGAAGTGCTTTCCCAATATTCTTCAGTTTAGCACAGAAGAGATGCTCCAGCAGTTAGAGCCGTGCATGCAGGTGCCGAAGGCAGCATCCCCCAGAGGATGCTTCTCCGCGAGTACACAGGCAGGACCTCTGCCTGCTGCGGCCACCCAGGAATAAAACAGCATTTCAGGAGCTCCATTAAAAGCCAGACTTACCCACTTCATCAGTGAGAACAACCGGAGAGAAGTGCCTAGGAGAGCCCCACGATGGCAGAGCTTTTATACAGTGAATAAGTGCCCTAGGGGAGTGAGGTGGTTTGGCTGGGTGATGCTCTAATTGCCTGCCAGTCCTGGCTGAGCCACGTGCAGCTTCACGCCAGTGGGAATGGCTGTCCTTGCTCTGCAGGGCTGCCATCACCAGCCGGCACTGCTGGGACACCTGGCTTACCTGGGAGCTTTGTGGGGGAGAACCTCCTGATCCAACATACTGAACCAGTGAAGCCCGTGGCAGGCCAAGGACACCCTGTGCAGGGGCCACTCATGGCCCTCGCGCTATGAATCCCCATGCACGATGCCAAAGCATCCCTGCCCATCGCAAATCCAGGCCAGCGAAAAACGCACCTTTCCACCCAGAAAAGGATTGCAGATGAGACCACCAAAGGCACTGCCCCAGGGACTCCTCATTTTCATGGGAGCTGCATGCATAAGTCCCTTTGGTGCCTTTGAAAACACGGTCCAGGAAGGACTCTTGGCGACGTTTTGCAGACCATAATTACTGTGGCATGCAGACTTCCTTCACTTACACATGGAAGCCGGGGAAGAGGCAGATGATTGGGACTGAGAAAGCCTTGGGCTAAGGGCAAGACGGCTACTAAAAAGGACTTGCCACAAAGTGAATAACCTGCTGGAAGAGGTGACTCTTCCGGCACAACAAAGGGGAGAAGGGAGCAGGAGCGCTGGGGTGGCCCAGGGAAAGGCAGCTGGATCAAACGAGGTTTATGTCCTGCAAACACGAAGCACATTTCCTGCTCTGCTGCAGAGTCTCTGCGCCAGTCATCCCTCCCTTTGTTCCCTGTTTATGCCACGAATAAACCCAAGGGAAAATTAACCGTGGCATGAGTGTAAGTGCCAACAGGGAATGCATTTTTACGTAGTCATAGCTGCATAAGCCAAGGCCCTGGCATTTTTTTTCCTTTATTGCGAATCGGACATCTATGAATTTCATGAATATATGTTCCAGCGTGCTGGGAATTCAGGTGAGGTCCCACACATTGAAATAAAAAGAGGTGAAATAAGTTAACTTTTAATGGAGTAGGTGGAAAATTTCTCACCGCTATGAAGCATGGGGGTGCTGCTGGGTTGCCATCCCTGGAGGTATTTAAAAGATGTGTGGACGTGGCACTTAGGGACATGGTTTATTGGTGGACTTGGCAGTGTTACATTTACAGTTGGACTCAATGTTCTTAAGGGTCTTTTCCAACCTAAATGATTCTATGAGCTGAAGCAGAATATTGATTCCTGGCTTATGAACCACTGAGTAAATTTTCTATTTCTATTTTCACCAGAAAATCCAGAAGCCTGAAGGTAGGTTTGTTATTTACATTTTGATTTTCCAACAAAAGATCTCCCTCGGTATTACAGAAAAAAAACCACCACAAAGTGCATGTTTTCCTGGTTGATGCCAACATTTCGAGAGCTACAAAAACCAAAGGGGGCCATTTCAGTACCTAAAGGGGGCTTATAGGAAAGATGGGGGCACTCTTTTTAGCAAGGCCTGTTGTGACAGAACAAGGAGTAATGGTTTTAAACTAAAGGAGGGGAGATTTAGACTGGGAATAAGGAAGAAATTTTTTACAGTGAGGGTGGTGAGGCACTGGCACAGGTTGCCCAGAGAGGCGGTGGAGGCCCCATCCCTGGGAACATCCCAGGCCAGGCTGGACGGGGCTCTGAGCACCCTGCTCTGGTTAAAGCTGTCCCTGGCACTGCAGGGGCTGGGCTGGGTGGGCTCTAAAGGTCCCTTCCCACCCAAAGCAGTCTGTGAGTCTATAAGAATGCTTTCTCTAGGCTTATCTTATTTTCCACAATTGAAGACAAAAGCACTGAATCCAACCTGGATTTCTCTAACTTTCATTGCATTTCACTCCCCTGAACTACAACACCTTTTTTAATATTAAATGATCTGACCCAAGATTTTGGGAATCAAGCTGGCGTCAGAGAGCAGGTAAACAGATTAATACACTTTTTATAAGCTCCATCAATCCAGTTCCTGGGCAGGCTCCAGATCAAGTAGCCTTCAAATAATGCTAATATTCAATTTAGTGTTTCCAGTGCAGGTAGCAAAATATTAACCCGATGATAACATCGTGCCCTGTCATCCAAATGCTCTTAATTAACATCTGTAAAGTCCTTTCATCTCAAAGAGACGCACAGTGCCACATGGGACATCATTGTAGGGGCTATTATTACTCCCAATTAAGCACAGGGGAAAACGAGGCACATTGCACTGTGGTCACTTGGCGGCACAGCGTGAGTCAGAACCAGGGTCAGAACCAGACTCCGTCGCAACCACCTCCAAAACAAGACCTGTTCTCTAGTGGCTGCTCCACCCCTGTGAGATGAGGTCCTGCACCAACTGGCCACCCACCACCCAGGAAGATTTTCCTAACAATCCCCTGGGCTCCAGCTCCTATGGGAAAGCCACAACGATGCGACAACTCCTCAGAAGGCCACACCGTTGCTCATTTCTTGGTTTTAAAGGGGACACAAAGCATTGGGTTGTGAGAGCATGCCTTGCTCTGCAAGGTGGAAGGATGTCCATGGTCATTGCTGCTCTTGCATGCTGCCTCTCTGGGCCAAAGCATCGTCACGGGACAGTCAGGAGAAGGTGTGAAAAGGGTCTGCCCCCCGCCATGACACACTGAGCACCCTGGGCAAGCAGCCAGATGCCACCTTGACTTTGCTAGATGCTCAGGTCTTAGACACCTCCTTGCCTTCGGAGGGCAGCCCATGGTGGCACCCCAAGGTCACCGAGAAAGGGTGGAGCAGGGCAGGATGCAGGGCAGCGTCCCGGCCCCAGTCCACACCCTCCTCTTCATCTTGCAACACTTGTTTTTGCCCTCCAAATACGCATGATCTACTTAGTGTGAGCTACTACTCATTTTCCTAATGATAGGGTATATTACAGGATTTTTGTATTTTTCAGACAGGAGTTCACTATATTTAATAAAGAAAAACCACCAGAGGGCAGAAAGACAAGATATTTAATCTGAGGTCAGACAACTATTTAAGCATATATATATGTATAAGTATACATATAGATATATATGGTTTGTTTTCAATACAGTGTAGAACACATCTTCAGGCAGCATAAAGAATGTAGTTAATTGCTTTTATAGCTCAAACATTTATAAAATAGTCGTGCTACAACTTTCAGTGTTATTTCAAAGATTTCCTTTTGTTTCAAGTTGTGGTTTCAATATTAATTAAAGCAACCAAGTGAATAAAAACATTCATGTATAAAGTTTCAGCAAGGACCAACTGCACCAAGTCAGAAATTCTGTCTTGTTTGGGGACTCTACTGAAGTCAACACAGAGTCAGTGTTTTAAAGCAGCAGGGATTTCTGGACACCCTCCAAAATGAAGGCCATTGGAGTAAGATTCGTATATTGTTTGCTTAGCAAATTTATGTTTGGCTTCCAAATCTGTCAGTGAAAACAGCTGTTTTGGAGAACTCACAGCCTTGTGGAATCCCAGTTACCCTGAACATTGTCTCCCAGGGCCAGGACTAAACCCGGAGCCGGGCACAGGCCAGCCCTCTTGGCCGCACTGCCAGTCCTCTTGATGCTGTCATGTTCTGGACTCCTTTGACTCCTTATTTCTTTTTGTTTTTTCAATTTTAAAAAAAAATTACTATTCATTTCAATTAGGCGAGAATTTAATAGCATCCCACTAAACTATGCCTTGTAGCTGATTAAGGTACAAGCCACAGGCACCTGGAGTGCAGCCACAGAAATAGTATCACACCCTGGCCCAAAATAGAGCTGAGCTACAGGGGAAGTATTGGAAAACAGAGATAAAGCAGACATAAGCAATAGGAACTAGTAGGCAGGTGGTACAAGGAGATAAATAACCCCTGCCCCAAAGCTGAGCCTCTCTTTCTGTGGACCTTCCTTTCCCCCGCTCCTTTTTACCAGGGCCATTTGGATGCAGAGCAGTACTTTTTCGAGTGGCTTGAAATTTTCACTCCACCCGACTGACATTGCTGCGGGACACATTTGGTCACACACTGCTGCTGCGGGACGCACTTGGTGGCACACTGCTGTGGGACACACTTGGTGGCACACTGCTGCTGTGGGACACACTTGGTGGCACACTGCTGTGGGACACACTTGGTGGCACACTGCTGCTGTGGGACACACTTGGTGGCACACGGCTGTGTGACACACTTGGTCACACACTGCTGCTGTGGGACACAAGTTGTCTCACATTGTTGTCGGACACACTTGGTCACACACTGCTGCTGTGGGACACATTTGGTCGCACACTGCTGTGGGACACACTTGGTGGCACACTGCTGCTGTGGGACACACTTGGTGGCACACTGCTGTGGGACACACTTGGTGGCACACTGCTGCTGTGGGACACAAGTTGTCTCACACTGCTGTGGGACACACTTGGTGGCACACTGCTGCTGTGGGACACATTTGGTCACACACTGCTGCTGTGGGACACACTTGGTCACACACTGCTGCTGTGGGACACAAGTTGTCTCACACTGCTGTGGGATACAAATGGTAGCGCAATTGGTGGCACACTGCTGCGGGACACACTTGGTCACACACCTGGTCGCACATTGCTGTGGGACGTACGTGGTGGCACACTGCTGCGGGGCACAAGAGGTCACAAACTGGTACGAGACACACTTGGTCGCACGCTGCTGCGGGACACACGTGGTGACGCACCTGGTCTCACACTGCTGCTGCGGGGTGTACGTGGTCACACACTGCTGCGGGACGCACTTGGTCACACACTGCTGCTGTGGGATGCCCTTGGTCAGGTATGGCTGCTGTGGCATACACGTGGTCACGCACCTGGTCACACACTGCTGCTGCGGGATGCACTTGGTCGCACACTGCTGCTGGGGGGCACAGGCGGTCACGCACTTGGTCGCACACTGCTGCTGCGGCACACACTTGGTCACACAAGGCTGCTGCGACACACCCTTGGTCGCACACTGCTGCTGCGGCATGCAAGTTGTCACACACCGAGTTACACATGGCTGCTGTAGGATTTGCTGGGTCACACACTGCTGCTGCGGCACACACGTGGTTGCGTACTGCTGCCGCGGCACACACTTGGTCACACACTGCTGTTGGGAGAAGCTGGAGGACATGATCCGCTGCCGGGGGATGCAGGGTGTCACGTACTGTGGGATGCACAGTGTTGAGTGCCAGGTAGGCACGGATGGGTGTCTGGCAGCGTACATCGGCGGGCATTTGATGGGAATGGGCTCCTGGTAGACTGGAGGGAGGCACTGCTGTACGTAGCACGACATCTCAGTGAGGCTTCGGCAGGACTGGAACAACATGTGAGAAAGCAGAGCCTTCAGACAGGTATCTGGCTGAGTCTCTTGTGGTCCCGCTTCTGCCTGTGCTGCAGGACTGGCTCACCTCACAGGGTGCCAGACACATGTCCCACCTATGCCATGGTCTCAAAACCACACCAGCAGCAGCTGAGGACCCAACTCATCATTTTTAACTCTGAAACATGGCACTAAGTCAAACAGTGGGGAAATTCAGAGACACGTAGCACTAAATATCTCCCCAGACTGCAATTCCCTCCCCATCACCTGGACATCCACAGGGGAGAACAGATCTTGGAGGTCAGCAGAGGAATGGCTGATCTCAGAGCTGCCTTCCAATCATTAAATCCAGTTTTCCCCTCCTGCTTTTGGTTTGTGACTGCCTCTGACCTCTTGCTGATGCATCAAGAAAAAAGCCCAACCCAGAAACAAGCTCTGAACCTCTGGCCATATCTGCCATAGCAGGAGAGGCAAAGAGCACCCAAGGCACCGCTGCTTGGTGATCCCATCACACCGCAGGCAGGTAGAGGTTCACAGCTCAGTCCCAGCACCACAAAGTTCATGCTCATTAGGGAACCAAAGCCAATTAAAGGGTAGCGATACCACAACTGAACACAAACCTGCTTACAGCTCTTCTAGCATTATGTTCCCTGATTGTTGTCAGGCACCCCCAGAAGCAAACTACAATAGCAGCACCCCAGTTACTGCTAACAACCTTTCCTCACATTTTTCGAGAGTGTCTCTTGGACTCGGAAGCCCAGCTGGAGACACTGTAGGAGAGTGCAGTCCCACCCCAAGACAGCAATTCAAACCGACTAGTTTTAAAAACTTTTCCCATAGAGCATTTTTTATATGTAAAAAAACCAGAAAAAAACCCCAGCAGCTACAGAGGCTCAGCACAAACCAGACTTACCCAGCTCCCTGGTGAGAACAGCTTTGTGATGTGACCAGTGAGCCCGAATAGAAGGAGAGCTTTTATATAGCTACTAAACGTGCCTTGAAGGTATGAGGTACCCACGACATATCCTATTAGCTCCTATGCAAAAGCTGTCCAGTGTGCAAGACTCGCAGTGACTAGCATCAGTGTACTCATCAGGATGAGTAGTTGAATGTCAGCTCCCCATAGTAAGAGTAATTACCTTTTGTATAATCCTCCCTGGCATGGTAAGACTGAATGGTATTCAGGGAGGCAGGCAGCAGTGGCATCCCCTGCCTCAGGGGTTTTGCAAGGCAGAAGTGCACCCAATAACATACAGTTATGGCTTTCCAGAGATCTCACAGTCCCTGGAAATGTGCTGGTGGTCCCCAGAAATGGGGCCATCCCACCACTTGGCATCTTTCTGCACACACGTGGCATTGGCTTCACGCCATGAGAGCTGCAGTGACCCCCCCACGTCCTTCTCTAACTTCAGTCCCTGGTTAGAGATGGCAGCGCTTCTCATCTGCTCTGTAATGCCCAGCAATGGGGGTCGGTTGTGTGTACAGGCTGGACACAGGGCACTGGCTCCTCTGAGGAAAAAAAGGAGCTGCTAGTAAAGCTGAATCACCCTCTTGGGTGGCTGCAGTTTATCATCCATAGAGAACTTCATTTTTAGCTCACATAGCTCTGGAGAGCACCTGGCTGTTGGTGTCCCAATGCTCCCGTGATCCCAACACGATCACCTGTTATCAGAGCAATGGGAATACACCATCCAGTGACTCTCAGATGAGTGGAAAAGATGAGCTACAGTCACGTTTGATTGCTGCTCTTGCACAAGCTCAGCTGTCAGAGCTGTGAGTGGCAGCACAACAGGCCACAAAAAGCACCGGGAGCAGATAAACTTCCTCCAGTCCTGCGGGTGACTTTCTCAACGAGTCAAATTCTTATTGCACACTGCAACCAGATTAAAGAAACTAGTTAGAAAACTGGGAGATTAATTTTTTGAAGTTGCTGAAGATCTAATCGATGCTTTCATGTGTATGTTGTCACATGAAATATCCCCCAAAAGTGACAATTTCTTCATGCTAACTATAAGGAGAGCTGAGGGAGACCAGCGCAGAGGAGTGCTCTGCCCCACAAACATCTAGCACTGGCTGAGATGAAAGCCAGTTCCTGAGTATGTTTATTAAAAACTGTGGCTTCTTGTGAGCTAAAGAAATGGCTCTCCGTGGGTGGTTTTTGAAGTGAAGAAAAAGGTCCATAAATAATTTTGTAATGAAACTGAATAAAGTTTAGGACCTCTTGGACAACTATGCCCCACACCAGGCAAGACTCACAGAGGGTGAAATGCTCCTTTTACCATAGGCTTCTCCAGCAAGAATGAATCCTGACCCTTGCTGGTCAGCACTGAGTGTGTTCATCTTTACCTGAACCATAAGAAATGTGGCTTTGTTGTGGCCTCTCTCCTGCAGAAACCGGTTCTTTGATCGAAAGCCATAACTCTTCATTACTTTTTAGCTCCAAAGGTTGTAGGTGTGATCCTTCCTGTTAGCCAAAGTCAGCAGTTCACATTTGTATTATTTTTATTCTAGTCTGGGTGCAGGCACTGCCTCAACCTTCAAAGAAATCCATATTTCATTCCATACTTGACTGAAACCCCACACGTACCTGCCTAACTTACTGAAAGCCCAGGTGAACTTTAATTATTTGATCACAACAATAACTTGTCTTCCATGTTCATACCCAGTAATATCTGTAAGACTATGTATCTAAGCCCTCTTAATCAGTACACGCCAAAACTACAGAATCAAAGAAAGAAAGAAAACCCCCAGAAACCCAATTTGGCTCCATTTTAACTGTGGCAACATAGCAACTTCAGAGGCTTTCACTATGTAACAATTTAATGAGTTTTCACTTTCACATGACAATGCTTGTCAAAAATGACTGCTTCTGTTGTCATCATCTGTGCACATTCTGGTAGTATCCACCTTCTCCCCACAAGCCAGCCTGCCCTGCAGTGGTTGTCGGCTAAGAAAATCTCCTGTGCTTTTTTAATATGCCTGACTCAACCTGGAGAACAGCACAAGATGAAGGTGGGAAAAGAAGTTAAAACAGGGCTGTGACACTGAGAAGTATGAAGAGGGAAGCTGAAAAACATCCTGGAGGAGATGCCAGGTGAGACATTAGGGAATCCACCACCTTCCTTTTAATAAGTCAGGAATGCAAAGGAGCACCGTCACAGTGCAGCAATTTTGGAGCATGAGCCAATGCACCAGGAATGCAAAGCTCCCTGCTGGCTCCAAATATAGAAATTTGGTAGAAGAACAAGCCAGTCAAAAAAGAAGATAGAAGAAACAAGGTAAATTGGCTAGGTGTGATCTGGGGTATTGAATTGAAACCTCAAGTGATGCAAAATTAGCCTTGTTCAATTAACGGTAACAAAAAAATACAGATAAACTAGGCAAGGAGCTGTAAAGCATGAGGGAGCTACAGTGGCGAGTTGTTAAGCATTAAAACTAGTGCATACTGAAGGACACTACATGTGATAGGCTATGACAGCAAAGCCAAGGAAAAGAGTCCTCCCTCGAAGAAACAGATCCACCTTGAAAAGTACCTGCATGGGTCTGGGGTGGCCATTTCCTCTAGCCTCGCCAAGGCATAGCCATGCCCTCCAGCCTTGACAAGGCATGGTCATTTCCTCTGGTCTCTCCAAGCCATGGCCTCCAGCCTCACCAAGGCACAGTAATTTCCTCCAGTCTCACCATGGCATGGCTGTTTCCTCCAACCTTGCCAAGGCATGGCCATTTCCTCCAGCCTCATGAAGGCACAGTAATTTCCTCCAGTCTCACCATGGCATGGCTGTTTCCTCCAACCTTGCCAACACATGGCCATTTCCTCCAGCCTCGCCAAAGCATGGACATCTCCTCCAGTCTCACCAAGGAATGGCCATTTCCTCCAGCCGCATGAAGGCATGGCCATGTCCTCCAACCTCACACAGCACGGACATTTCCTCCAAGCTGTGCAAACCACTAGAGTGCAGCATTCGCATGCACAACCACCTCCTGCAACAGCCTTGCAGAACCAGATCCTGGTAGCTGGGAAATTACCTTCAGATGCACTCTCTCTCCAGGAAAATCGTTTAAACTGGCAGCCTGTGAGCCAGACCCAGCCCAATGCCTTTGTGTCATATGACCCTAATGTCTGAATGCTCCTTATTCTACCAAGGCACTGGCATGAAATTAAATCTGAGTTGCCAATGCTCCCTACAGCCCAACCACAGCCTCCTGTTCCCACTGCTGCAAAAGCCAGTGCCTTATTCCAGCTGCTCACATGTACATGTGCTTCTGGGCATTGGGAACACACACTGAAAGGGTAGCTGGGCTGCACGTCGTGTTCTTCACAGGAGAGTGAGTCTGTTCAGTCATCCCTGCAGGGCAGTAAGGTGTGTGCAGGAACGGGAGGGCGGAGAATAAAGGAAACATGAGAGAATAAGCAGAGATTGCACTTTTATTGTATCAGACTTGTAATTAGAAAGCAACATACAGGCTGCAGATAATAAAACTTAACATATTATTAACCCAGCAAGCAGTAAATTTGCAGTCTCACTATTTCAATGATTTAACAGCACTGAAGGCAAAATACTAACCCCATCATGCATAAGAATGAAATGTTCCTCACTTCGACTCCTTCTTGCTTCATTTTAAGAGTGTTTTATTACTTAATGAACTCTTGCTGTTCTGCAATTAGTAGCCCCACACACCTCTTTGTTCTGGTTGCTGCCAGGCTCAGTGGAGGTTAGTCTCTGTAGAAAATCTGACTACCTGATCATAATAGCCCTGGTGACTTTTAAAATACTTAAGCTGAGCTGTGGAGTTGCGACACAACTTTCTCTCTCCCCAGCACCCATATCCACTAGCTACACCATCCATGAGCTGGGCTTTCAGTGGGAGAGAAACCTGGGCACTGAGGTATGAACTCAGAGCTTGATTGCAGCCACAGCTGTCCCCTCTGCAGCAGCGACAGGCTTTAACACAAAGGCACAAAGCCACCAGCT